TATGTACCAAATATTAACAAGATTCAACATAAATCCTTCACAAATAAATGAACCCTAGGTTAGAGTTCTTCCCTCATATGTAATAATCACCTATTTAGCATCTAGGTTGGCAATATCACCCTAATCCGAGCCAAAAAAAACGGACTACTTACACTTCATAAACATAAACAACAAGAAAGTACAAGAAAACATCATTAGCATTGCACAAGATATTTAAAAAAAGAGTTAGAAAGCTTCTCTATTGAAGAAGAGAAATTTGTGGTTGAATCCCACTCCAATCTGCGATTACAATCTTGGAAAATGAGTTAAAGATGTAATATTGAACTAATCTAAGCTAAGGAAGTCTAAGTAAATGAAGAGGAATGAGTTCTATCTATCTAGGGTTCTAACTTCCGCCAAATGTCAAAGAAAAACGCATAAATATTAATAGAGCACAGAACGCAATGTTCCAGTGAACACTGAAATTAGTGTACTGGCATGCGTACGGACGTACGCGAGGTAGTACGAGGCTCCTGAAAATTCATAAATGCATTCCAAGCTCTTTGATTGATCACTTGGTCCAAAAATTGCTCGAATCTTCCCGAAGATCATTGAATTCCTCACTTGTTGTGAATGATTGCACCTTGAAATAAATCTAACATAAATTAGTCACAATTCACAAATAAAATGGGTTCAAGAAGGGATAAAAATATAGACAAAAACGCACTTATCCGCGACCGTCGTCGTCACCTCCTTCCAATCTGGAAGGAGGCGACAGAGGCCTCTTTCCAGACCGGAAGGTGGCGACGAACGTCGCCAGCCGGCAAAATTTTTTTTTTTTTAAAATATATATATTTTAATTTTTTTTTTTTTTACTTAGTAACCTGTTGATTACCTGTAGATTAGGTTTAATTGCACAGTTTTAAAAAGTTCAAGCGTGCAATTGAACCTTTTTAGTGTTTAAGGGCCTAATTGCTTTTTCATCAAAAGTTTAAGGGTTTATTTGACACTTTTCTCTTATTATTATTTAGGGTCACACTTGTGTGAGACCATCTCACGGATTATTTTCCGTGAGACGGGTCAGGTCGGATCACCATGCAAATGTCATACTTATATGCTCAAATATAATACATTTTCATCTTAACCCGACTCGTCTCACGGTGAGACGGTCTTACACAAGTTTTGCCTATTATTTAGTATATCTTAGATTTATTTCTATATAGATAAAAAGGACTAACGGTAGAAAATAATTTTTTTTATTAATTAATTTCTTTTAAGGTGATGTACTTTTTTTGGTCAAACCACAAGGTGTCCTGAGCATGCCTTAACTGTGTGAGGCACCTTTAAGCCCGTACCATACTCACGCTAATCGCTATTTGCACCGGGCTAGCCCAGTTAAGGGGCAAAGTGCTGGCCATATTGGTTTTTTCATGTGGAAGGGGGTTTGAACTCCCAACTTCTTTTAAGGGACGAGGGTGCACGGTCACTTACACCAACCAAACTGGTTTAAGGTGATGACGATAAGTTTGATAAAACTTAACACTAACACATTTAATTTGCCCACAAAAAAAATGTGATGACGATAAGTTTGAATTTAAATTCTAGCTTCTTCAATTTCTTGTTATATTGTTATAACAAAATAAAACATATAGAGTAACGAGAAGATAATGGCCCTGTTTGGTAAAATGGCTGTTAGCTGATAGCTGTTTGCTGTTAGCTGATTGTGTTAATTAAAAGGTATAAATAGTTGATAACATTAGATGATTGTAGAAAAGTGTTTGGTAAATTAGCTGTTAGTTGATAGCTGTTTGATATAATTTCTTTTCTCAAAAAGCTAATTGAAAAAGTTGCTTGGAGGAACTTTTTAAATTTTAGCCTTTTGGAGTTGCAAAAAGCTAATTAACCAAACATTTCTATTGATATTTTAACTAAATCAAACAATTAATAGTGGTCAAATAAGCCAAAATTGGCCTATAGGCTTATTTTTTACCAAACAGGGCCAATATGATCGAAGAAGGTAGGTTCTCTATCCTGATAAAAAATAATTTCGCCACGTGATATTTTCAACAGTACTATATTTGATTCGAGATGGATATTTACAATCATTTTTTATGATTGAAATTCCAACTACTTTAGATACACCATTAATTGCCTGCCATGACCTTGTGATCTAGTGACACGAAGTGGCTCTCTCAGATGTGAGGTTATAGGTTCGATCTCTAGTAGAACAGTTTTGAAGATTGAGAAAATAGTTATAAACATATATATACTACATTGTAACATAGATTGTAGTCCTAAAAAAAGAAATAAGATTCCTAAAATCACCTCTCAAAGTACTATATGAAAACAGTACAAGTTAGGCAACTAGTTCCTTAAATTGATATAAAGAAGATCTCACGGATCCATCTCCTTTTATACCTCATTCAAGTCTCTTAGTCTATGTCAACAGAGTGTACATGGTGAGGACTGATTGAATGACTCGCGATTTACCTCTTCCGTTAAATTGATATAAAGAAAATCTCCCAAATCTCTCGTATCCATCTCCTTTTATACATCATTCAAGTCTCTCAGTCTATATGGACAGAGTGTACATGGTGATCAAAGCGCTAGATCACGGAATTCATTGTATCTTGGAACCAAGAAGTGGTGGATATAGTGAATTGCTCTTGGACATAAGAGCAAGTGGAGTAGGAGGATTACACCACCTCCGAACCACTATAAATTACCTTGTATTCTTTACCGCTTTCTTTACTTACTGCTCTTGCTTGCTTCTCACGAGAATAATCTTGATACAAATACACATACACCGTACCGTTTATTATTTCCGTTGTGCACCAGACTCTAACAATCTAGTTAAGAGTCTTGGTTTCTCTGTTGCCTTAGCAATTATTGTGCTGTGCTAAAAAGTTTAAAAGTCTATTCACCCCCGCTCCCCCTCTAGACTTTTACCTTATCTCTTTTGGGACCAACACAATTCATTCCTATAACTGAGTTGCCTGATAAATAAAATCTCTAAAGTTACAGCACCGCATGCGTACATCTATACATTAACTGTTAATTTTAGCAATTATTTGCTCAAATTCAAGCAATGATAACATCAAAACACATAAACGATCCTAACCATATATATCTTTAATTGCACTATATAATATTTGATGTTCTAATTTAAATAATTATATATTGATCCAAATATTCTTAATATATTAAAACAAATCAATTCCGTGCATCGCACGGGAAAAATACTAGTTGATATAAAGAAGATCTCCCAAATCACGGTTCCATCTCCTTTTATACCTCATCCAAGTCTCTCGGTGTATGTGGACAGAGTGTACATGGTAAAGACTGATTGGGTGACTCGCGATTTAACTCATCAAGGATTTAGATTTAATTTAGCTTAAGCTGAAAACCCTAATTTATCTATCAAAAAAAAAAAAAAAACAAAAACATTGTGACTAATAAGAAGATAATAGGATTGAGGAGGGTAGGTTCTCGATCTATCCTAATAAAAAATAATTTACAGAAGGAATAAGCCCATCTACTACTCACTAGTGCTCAATTAACCACTTAATCTAAAATAAGAGCTAATTTGATACATAAATTTCCTAAAATTCTTGCATTTATCATTTTTTCATGTTCCATCCGGTTTTGATGACATGGCATCATGTTAAGCTGATGTGGTTGGCAAAATAATATATTTTTTTTGACATGACGTCTAACAAAATATATTTTCCTTGACATGGCTTCAAGCCATCGAAAAGTGAATTTTTCACTTTTCGGTGATGTGGTATCACTCCAATTCTACCTAATGTGACTAAATAAAAAACTTCCATTACAAATGCATCATTCTCATTTTGTTCTCTAGTATATGAAATTTGGTCATTCTAAACACAATAAAAAAATAAAAAAAAATAAAAAAATCACACTCTTATGGGTCATTCCAAAAATTACACCAATGTAAAAATAATATAAATATTTGCACATTCCATCTTTTCACAACCAAAAAATTTCCTCATAGAATCATGGGTTGTTTAAATTGGGGCTTTCAATCCGGCCACAATGACAGTACATCGAATCTCAAACTCATACTCCAAGTTGTTTCGTGCACCTAATAAAGCCGAAGATGAAGACATTTCAAACCATGAAAACGAGCGAAGCTGACGATTTTGAGAAGACGAAGTTGAAGAAAGAAGTCAAAGATGAATAACATAACATACTAATGGAACCTAGAAAAAATGGTGAATGCAAGAATTTTATAAAGTTGATGTGTCAAATTAGCTCTTATTTTAGACAAAAGAGTAATTAATTGAACACTTATCAGGGCGTTTGGTTGGAGGAAATTTAAATTTCATTCCCAGTTAATTCCAACCTAATTTCAAAGGCCATTAAATTCCTTAATTTGATTGGAAGGAATTGCAATTCCATGGAATTACAATTCCCTCATTTTCATGGAATTAAAATCTCATGTCCCCTTGGGATTTTAATTTCATAAATTTTAGGAAGAAAAAAAGATAATGATGAGACAAAATTACCTTCCCATTTTTTAATCTAAAATTAATGCCTGACAACAACAATGAGTATTTTGGACTTTATACTACTTATTACTTATCAGTTCTCATGTATACTAAACATTAGAATTAGAATTTCCAGTAATTTTATTTCTATAAACAGGCCAACACTGAAATTTAAATTCTCACTTTATTTCCAGTAATTTATCTCCTATCGAATTGTAATTCCTTTCCCACGTAATTCTCTCCGTCCAACCTAATGCCCCGTATATGTAAGTAGTAAATCAGTTTATATAACCCATCCGTCAAAATTATTTCACCACTTGATATTTTCAAGTGTACTATATTTGATTCGAGATGGATATTTCCAATGCATTTTTTATGATTGAAATTCCAACTACTTTAGATACACCGCCAACTACTTTAGATACAACGTTAAGTTTTATCCAAAAGAGTTAAAAAGTAAATTCTATTTTTGATAGTTGAAACAGTGACAGAACATATAAAATAAGTGTAAATTAGTAAACACAGTACAATAATATTATATTGATGAACAAAAATACATAGAGGTAAATCTTTGAGTGGGGATGAATGTGTCTTAGCTTTATGCTACACACAGATGTCTAGGCCGGCATTGCATGCATGCACATACACCATCCTATTTTTATTTATTCTTACTGACTATATATAACCAATGCAAACAATTGAAGTAAATTAATTATTTTATCTAGTAATATGGGCAATGAAATTATCCATCTCCAGGCGAGAAATGCCACCTTCCATCACAGACTCCTTCACGGCTCTCCCCGCCTCTGCCGCCTTATTCCTCAGCTCCTCACCTTCCGGTGACGCCATCAATCTCCTTATGGCGTTTCGGATTGTGGTGGACGTTGTTATTTCATCCCTACTTTCCCAATCCTTGATGGGTATCCCAGTTTTAAGGACTTCTGTGATGAGAATGGCGTTCCTAGGCTGGTCATATTGGATAGGCCATGTGGCTAGGGGGACTCCCCGGCACATGCTCTCCATGCAGGAATTCCACCCGCAATGAGTTAGGAACCCGCCCGTGGAAACGTGGTCTAGTATCTCTAATTGGGGTACCCAATCTCGGAGGATAAGCCCACGCCCTTCAACTCTCTCTTCAAACCCTGCCGGCAGATTTATCTTGGTGTTTTTGTATCCTTTGGTCAGATCTTTCACCACCCAAATGAAGTTTTGGCCACTTTGTTCTAGGCCTTCCGCTAGCTCATGGAGTTGGTGGTCGGAGAGAACTGTCTGCGTGCCGAACGAGACGAAGATGACGGATTTGGGAGGCTGTTTGTCGAGCCATTCGAGGCATTTGTGGCGTGGGGTTTTTGATGAAGAATCTTGGTCGGTTTTTGTGTTTCGTTTAGTTACCACTGGGTTGAACGGACCAATCCCCCAAACCGGCCCTTTTCTCGCTAGCTTATAGACCATGGCGAGCAGGTCTAGATATGGACCCTCTATCGCTCTACACGCGTCAAAAAGATTGCCCTTGCAGAAGGCGTTGGTCTTGCGTTGATCCACGATGAACTTGAAGAACTCCGGCGGGTAACAACTTGACGGAATTGGAAGCCGGTCCGGGACTACGGCCCCCGCCGGGAGAACAAATCTCCCGACCAACTTCCAGAGAAACGACGGGACGTGGAGGATTTTACGCAAGACCTCCCACACGAGCGAGGCGTCGTGGAAAGCCGACCCGACAAAGAAGTTGTAGGTCTCGAGGTTTTGCACCACCGCGTCCTTAACCGTGTTAACCATCAGGGCGTCGTGAACGACCACCAGCCTCTCGCACTTGGGCGATAGCTCCTTGAGGAGGCTTCCGATGGGGCTGCGCAAGTACGCGGCGGCGTTCATGGCTGACGCTAAGAACTCCAGGTAGGATTGGCATTCCATAGTGGGGTTAGTGTTGGAGAGGTACGCCGGAGGGGCGGGGAACTCATGGAAACGCAGCGTGGGATAGTCGGAAGGGCTCCACCCTTCGATTCTTGGCTTAACGGCGGCGATGTCGACGCTTAAACCCACGAAGTAGACGGGTAAGTTGTAAGACGCGATGAGGCGAGACAAATGGACCAGCAAATTCAGGTGGCCCTGCGCCACGAAGGGCACCACCACCACTATCACTTTATCACTTCTTTTAGTATCATACTTTCTTGCAGAGTTCACAGACGCCATTCAATTGTATTGTAGGGCGCGAAGAGTTTTAGAATGCTCTTTCTGTATTTATGTCATCTTTCACATATTCTTTTGTCGTGATACCACAGATTTTACTAACTCCCATTTTTTTTTAAAGTTTTTCTATGGAGGGGGTTGGTCCTTGCCAGCTAATTGTATTTTCTACCTATATTTGTTTAGTATTAATCAAAGACGATTCAATTAAATTATTTTCTCAATCATTTTACATATTAATTACGTTACCGTACAACACGTCTGGTGATCTAATGGCATAAACCCAGACGCTTCATTAAAACCAATGGCAGAAATATAATAGTCCAGAAGATATATTAGCAATTGTTATATCGTGCACCAGGGGCGTATAGTGTATTGTGCGCTCCGTTCTACCCAAAACGATGTCGTTTTGTTAAGTTGTGTTAGGAGTAGACGCGACGGACACCGTTTTATGTATATTATGTTAAGAGTTTATATGTATTATATTAAAAGTTGATGTGTATTATGTTAAAGGACCGTATAATTAACGAAATGTTAGATTATCTTAAAAGAATATTAGACTGCTGAGAATCAGGACCTGCCCAGGGCCTTTGCACAATTTGGGGGCCCATACTTTAAAAAAAAATATTATGTATAATATGTATATGTACAGCTGTATATAAGGCATAATAAGCAGCATTAGGCCATTAGCCAATAGCCATTCAAATTTAAGAGGTAAGCCTTTGGGGCTTTTACTTCAGCAGAGCAGAACAAGTGCGCAAGTCGCAACGCCGCATCCTATTACCCTATCAGTAATTTAGTATAAATATAATAGTATAGGTAGCTTGAGTTCTTAGGCAAATTTCACCATTCACAAACATTCAAAGAGCAGCAACAGACGACAAATCGATAATAGGTAAAATTACTAAATATTTTATAATTTTTGTTTATTATTTTATAATTTTATTTACCGTAACTTAATAATTAATCTAAGTTTAGAATAATATATTCAAGAATTTGTTTCATAATTAATTATTTATTCTAAATAAATTCTTATTTTTGTTAAAATTTATAATTATGTCTTATACAAAATAGTTATATGGATTTGAGAAACGTAAAAGAAAAAAAAGAATTGAGCAACGAACTAATTCAATCTCAAAATGGAGCTATTGAAAAATTCATTACAAAAGAAACTCAAATAGATGTGCAAAAAGATGACGCTAGGAAAAAATTGTTAGATGTTAATCTTCATATAGAAGATCAAGATGATTGTGAGATTGGGAAAAATTTAAATGATATTGTGCACAACGATGATAGGTATCACTGTAACAACAAAAATAATAAAAATATTGATAGTTGTTTAGATGATGTTGGTCAATGATAAACCAAATGATTCGCTTCTATTTGACATATATGATTCAAGAAATTGAGATGCCCTTGTGATGGTAGCAAAAATAAGATGTGAGCTCGGGTGTTTTATTCGTCCTCAGAGGATTGGGATTTATGGCACGCAATACGCATTCACAAGCAACTAGGCACTAGCATAAGGAAGTCAACAAGAAGCTAAGCAAATAACAACAAGTTTCAAGGTTACGGCAACTAAACAAAATAACAAAACACATATTAATAAGATATAAACACGAAATAATGAAATGGGACTCAAGCTAGGGAGCATTATCTTCTAGATGCATAGCACAACCTAAAGATTGGGGAAAATCACACTACCAAGGAATAGAGGGGATGCACATAGGAATTCTAGTCTATAAGTCACTCACGTGAGCAAATTAACAAGGATTAGGATAAGGAATTGCCCCACTCTCGTGGTGAATCAACTCCAAGTTCTTCAAGAACACAAAGCACCAATAACCCCCAATTTCTCCTATTTTCATAGGAAGAGATTGGGTTTATGCAAGCAGTGGCTAGAAATCTTTACCCAACTCTCATGAGGCCAAGAATCCTCCCAAACATGTTAATGAATGTTGTACACCAAGCATTAACAAAATACAAACACAAATCCTTCATAAACTCAAGAACCCTAGGTAGGCAAAAATCTCCTTTATGCAATAATCACAAATCAAGCATCAAGATAGATAATACAACCCCAACTCAAGTCCATAAACTAACTACTCATGATTAAATATCATAAAGAACACAAAAACACAAGTAATAAACATAAATCTTGCAAAAGATGGAGATAAGGGAAAGAAAACTTCACTAAGAAATAGATGGAAAATCTTGAAATGTTGGAATCCAAGTGTTGAATCCTTGATTACAAGCTTGAAATATGTTGTGGAACCTAAATCTAAACCTAATCTAACACTAAAATATGAAAGGAAGTGAAAGGAAATGTCTAGGGTTGGAACAAGGTCCAAAATCGAGTTGAAATGACACAAAAACGCGCCTAAATAGAGCAGAGCACAGTGGGACGCCCCAGGGATGGGCGTACGCCAGGGGGTACAATTTTTGGTGCATTTCCAGTGAAAACTAGATCAGGGAGAAGAGATGCGTACTGGCATGCGTACGGGCGTACGGCAGGGCGTACGAGGCTCCTGGAAACAGAATTCTGTGCACTTGTCTTGTCTTCTAGGCTATTTTCATCCTCTAAAAACATTTTATTGGCACTTATGGTCTTCAAAAAAGTTGTAGCCCTTTAAGTTGGCTTTCCAATGGTGCAATAATCACACCATTTGGACATTCCTAGGCTGAGATATGGTCAAAAAACCGAACAGTGTCCGAAATGAGCGAAAATTACAATGTCTTGATCTTTTGCTCCTCTTTTGTTTTGATTTGTCCAAATGACTAAGACCATTGAATACACCACTCCAAGGCTCCCTTGGAAGTATTTTTTCCATCCTCTTAACTTCTCATAGGCTCTCATGGACTCCTAATGCATCCAAAATGCTCAATTTGACTCCAATGTCCACCAAAATGCCTGAGAATACTCATCTTTGTTTCCAAACAAAACTCCTAGCAAAAAAATAACACAATTTAATCATAATCTCATGAAATTTGGAATGATCTATAAGCAAAATGGCTAAGTGAAAGGGAGGAAAATATATACAAATAAGCACTTATCACCTTGATTCTAAATTAATAGTAGATATTCTTTGTGAAAGATGGTCTTAAAAAAGATTTATCAATAAATAAAGGTCCTAAAGATAAATTCATATTTGCCAAATAGAGAGAAGTGTGATTGATATTGGTTTGTATATTAAAAAAATTTGACAAGGTGTTTTTGTTTTTGTTGCAAGATTTTTTATTTTTTTTTAAAAAAAAAGGTATAGGAAAAGGTGAAATCGTACTTACAACCAAGTATATTGCAAGAGAGACTTAATGAATTATCATTAATCTCTATTGAAAATGAAATTTTAGGAGAAATTGATATCAAAAGTTTGGTGGATGATTTTGCGTCTAAATGTGCACGGCTCATGTCACTTTTTTAATGAAATTTTAGATGTATTTTTATACAATATTTATATTTTGAATTTTCGACATTACTCTTTGAACAATTATTATTTATATATAGAAATTACTTGAAAAAAAGAGGCCTAAATTAATATATTGCACAAGACCCTAATTTTTATTAGAACGGCCCTGCTAGGAATGTGTAGATTCATGTGTTTGGTTAAAATTGAGGTATGTTATATAATCATGTTTGGTTTAGTATTATCTCATATATATATATATATATATATATATATATATATATATATATATATATATATATATATATATATATATATATATATAGAGAGAGAGAGAGAGAGAGAGGGGATGCACTCAAGTGCGAATAAGTGCCTAGGAAGGAATATGCGAACGAATCAGCACGTGACACGTGTCCAGATCTAATAGCTTAAAAAAACATGGTGGCATTTTCGTAAATAATTGAACATCGAAGTGCAAGTAAAATCACTTACAAGTGCACCTACTTTCACCTATAAGTGCATGTAATTTTGTCTTGTTAACATTCACTTCCCGCAAACATTCATGCATCTGGGTGCAACTACTTATAACTATAAGTGCAGCTATTTTCACCTATAAGTGCATGTAATTTTGTCTTGTTAACATTCATTGATCTGAGTTCAGCGGGTAGTAATACCCTTGAAAACCACCTGCAAACATTAATGCACCTAGGTGCAACTACTTATAACTATCTGTGCAACTACTTAGAACTATTGGTGCAACTACTTATAACTATAGGTGCACTTAGTATTGATGCTCAGTGTAAATTTTTACTTGCACCTATAATACATTTTACATGCACTTGTAATGCATTTTACTTGCACTTCGATGTTCAATTACTTACGAAAATGCCACCGCGCTTTTAAAAAAACAATCAGTGTTTCTCATCCATTAGATCTGGACACGTGGACGGACAGAATCCATTCCTATTTCGCGCCTGAGTGCGATTATATATATATATATATATATATATATATATATATATATATATATATATATATATATATATATATATATATATATATATACTAGTTTTTTATGCGCATTGCGCGATTAGAATAATGCCCAATGTTTTTTTTTTATTTAAATAAGCACTTTAAAATATATCAATGCAAAATTATATTGGAACTGTTCATGCATAGATAATTGAATGTTGAATTTGCGTATTTAAATAGGTAATTTTAAGTTTACAAATGCAAAATAATATAGTTAAGATTGATTATAATTGTCAATAAAATAATTGTATAGGTATAGTTGAAACCAAATACGAGACATAATGGAGAGCAAATAAAAATTAGGGCTTAGTTATATTATTAAATATATATATACCCTAAGGTTATTTTATATGTTAATCTAAACACCTAATTTTTTCAAATATTAATTCTCACTTCTTAACTGCATTAAAACTTGAACCTACAAGCTCTTATATGAAAGAGTAACTTTGTATCATTAGACCACAAGACCTTTGGTTATGTATGTAATCATGGCAAATTATTATGTGAACCATGGTCCACACAATGTTATGTGGACCATAATAAAATGTACATTTTTAATATACTAAATGTACATTATTTTTGTACTGAATGTACATTATACAATATAATACACTCAGAACAAAA